GTCTTTCTCTTTCTGTCTGTCTCTACTTGTCTTTCTCTTTCTGTCTGTTCTTCTTTCTTTCTGTCTCTTGTCTTTCTCTTTCATTCTGTTCTTTCTTTCTGTCTCTTCTTGTCTTTCTCTTTCTGTCTCTTCTTGTCTTTCTCTTTCTGTCTGTCTCTTCTTGTCTTTCTCTTTCTTTCTGTTCTTCTTTCTTTCTGTCTCTTCTTGTCTTTCTTTCTCTTTCTGTCTGTCTCTTCTTGTCTTTCTCTTTCTTTCTGTTCTTCTCTTGCAAAGTCTTTGATTCTTTCTTTTTCTGTTTTTTTCCGTTTCTTTTCCTCTCGTGTTCCTTTTGTTAATTCTTAACTTCTTTAATTTGTTCTTTGTTTCTTTTTTCTTCTTTCTTGCTCTTCTTCCTCCGCTCTCTCTCTAACCCACTCCATTCCCTGCATTTCTCTCTCTCTGTGTCTCTTTGTTGCTCACCGTCTCTCCCCCCCCTCCCCCCCTCCCTCCCTCATTCCTCATCCCCACGTTGTGTGTGTGTTCGTGCCCGCCTTTGTGGGTGTTTGCAGTGCATGGGCTGTGGGAGGAGTGGTCGTCATGGAGTCTGTGCTCTGTGACCTGTGGGCGGGGCTCCAGGACGCGAACCAGGAAGTGTGTGAACGAAGGCGGGGCCGTGGCTTGTGGACAGCCCGACATTCAGACCAAACTCTGCAACATAGCAGTGTGTCCTGGTTAGTACCATCCCCATTTACATGATACACCCACTCTCTCTTTTCTTGGACTCTCTGCCTATTCAAGCATGACATAAAAATCACAAAACTTAACTTTCACAGCTCTTGAAAATTACATGCATTTATTTTGTGTTCTTCCATTATAGCTCTTGTAGTGACCAAGTGTCTCTCTCCTCTGGTAGAATGTGGACTAATGCTGAATTCACGCTTTAGCGGTACGGACTTTGAAATATTTCAACAGCTATGTAATAGCTAGGGCTGCCATAACATTTTGTACAGACGTTAATGGACTTATATTAACCGTAACTTTACATTTAGCGCAATCATCAGGTTAAAATTTGAATTATTTGGTTTATGACCAAATACCCGAAAAATAAATGACATTCCCGTCATCCTCAGCTTTACTTTGTGTTTAGAGCTAATTAGCAAATGTTAGCATGCTTACATGCTAAACAAAGATGGTACATTTTTGGCCTGCTGAGGCATATTAGCCTTATCATTGTGATATTAGCGTTAAGCCAAATGCACCACTGTCAGCCTCTCTTTTTACAAGGTTTGCTGCCTTTCTCTTGTTTTTTTAAAATGTATTTTTCTGTTGTACAAAGTAACTATACACCGTTTTTTCATTATTATTAGTATTATTATTTTTACCTGGTTTCTAGGGCTGTCCCCGACTAAAGATTCTCCTAGTCGACTCGTAGATGTCAGTTCAAGCCATAAGTCGACTAATCGTCAAACTTATATTATTATTTAAATATATATATTTAACAACTGCCTGTGCAATGCTGACGTTAAAAGCAATGATGAACGGGCTACTATGGGCTTAATTTCCATTCAACCAATTTGGAATAATGTATGAATGTCAATTCGAAATATTGGTAACTTTTTACGGTTCTTCCCGTTCTGCTGACAAGGCGTGAATGCAGCATCACCCCCACCTTTCCTGC